ACCAGTGTGGGTAACTATTGAGCTCATGGGCATAAAGGACAGACACAAAGTATACTTGGCTGACAGTGAAGACGAATGCATATTAGGATTGGACTACTTACTACCGAGGAAGTCTGTAATTAATTTTGATAAAATGACGTTTGGGAACAACAAAGGCCAAGTTCTGGTAACTGTTAAAAGAGAGGTTGAACTAATTAGGTGTCATCAAGCTGAAGTCAAAGTGACTGAAGGAGTTGATGATGGTGAAATGGAACCAGGTATAGATATTAACTCAGAGCATGAAGCCACTGGATACACTCCAGCAAAGTTAATGTTTGGTCGGGAACTTCGGTTGCCAGTGGATCTGTTAACAGGACGCCCACCTTATGAAGAGTTGCCTGAGAATGTGTGAGGATGGATGATATTCACCATCAAGTGCATTCAAACTTGAAAACGTCTGCTGATTCGATGAAGTTAACTTATGATAAGAGATCTACTGAAGTCAGCTTTGTACCAGGAGACAAGATGTGGTTGTATAATCCCAGGAAGACCAAAGGGAAGTCTCCTAAGTTGTCTTCTCCATGGGAAGGCCCATATGACATAGTGGATCGTTTCTCAGACGTGACTTTCTGGATAAAATGTGGTCCGCGAGGTAAGCCAAAAGTGGTGCATGCCAACAGGCTTTGGCGTTATCACAGTCCATGACATTTCAGTTGGAACGAAGTGAACAACAGAACAAATGACGCTGCTGAAGACGTGCCACCTGAAGAAGCCACTGTCAAAGAAGAAACTCTACTCAGTTTTGAGAAGGGAAACAGTGAAGCCCTTGATGAAGTTACTACCACTGATGTGACTATTACCGATGATAGGACATTTCCTGATGAAGCAGATGAACCCCACATGAAGCAGAAGCCAACGAGACGGAGGCCAGTACGGAAGAAGATACGTCCCGTAAAATTAAAAGCCTTTGTTGAATTGTAATTTTGTGTTTGCAAATTCTGTACATTTAATTAAGTTATTGTTAATTGTTTATTGGTTTAATGTAAGTGGCTATTGTTCGGGCCGAACAATACTAAGGAAGGGGCAGTGTTACGACAGCGGAGGTCACGTGACTCTAGTAACACGCCACGCGCTTCTAGAACGTTCATGAAGCGTCGGGAGACTACTAGATATGGGGTAGTCTTGTATATATAAGACCGGCCAAGAAGCGACGGGAACAATATGTAAATTGAACTGCGGACAGAGTATTGTTGAGTTGAGCACGTGAGACGTTCGTTGTGAATTATAGCGTTTGTTATAGCGCGACTGTGGAAATTAAGTGTATTGCAAAGTTGTATTCAAAAAGAATAAACCAGTTTTAATTAAGAAAGGACTTGTGTCGCTAAAGTTTCGTCGGAACGAAATTTACGAAAAATTAACTAACGACCAGAGACGTAACAAATGATAATATATCTTTTGTATGTGCCCTGGAAACGAAAATACAGTAAACAAAGTATTATCTCTCAGACAAACATTTTTACCTGTTCTATTAAAACATTATTTTTCAAAATGCACTGCACAATTTTGTTGAATACCACTTGTCTCTCTTTTTGTTTTCGACAGTTCGGGTTGTCTCTACAGAAAGTTGCATGAAACTTGAAAATCAATTGAAATAACTACTACTCTATCAAAATAAAACTAAAACTACGAGCTTAAAAACGAAAGTTATATGTGCTCAAAAGTCAAAGTCAACCTCAATTAAATAACTTTACTGTCATTAGGCCTAAGTTACTATATCTAACAATGTAATTTATTAGCAGTGGAAAATCAATTCATATTAATTTATTTACTGGGAAAATAACAACAACAACAAAAACTTATCCGTGAATCAACCACTTCTGAGTCTATTGTTACAATTCCATTCAATAAACATTGACATTTGTACATTAGATACAGGATGCAACTGGTAAACTCTACGTATTTAATTACGTCTTAGCAACTGCAAGTACAAGAGACCAACAAGATGAATACTTTATAACTTCCGCTGGTTTCACGTGAAAGGGTCAATTCTCAATCCAGTTCAGTATAGAAATCAAGATTAGTAATTGTGGTTCACTAACTTTGTTCCTTGCGCCATCTGGTGTTTGAAATGTTAATTTTCAATGTCCTATTTACATACAAAGCTTCAAAGAATTCAATTGACTGTCTCCAATTTGATAGTGTCCGAACTAGGCCCAGTGGTTAGATTGCCAGACTTTTAATATGAGGTTTGTGGCTCGTGCACGTTGCATTAAAAAAACTTTGGGGCTGTGTTATAAGAGCGTTGATCAAATCCCAATATTCGGTCTGACAAGATAGCACAAGAGTAGCTGTCTTCCCTCTAATCTATCGTTCCAAAATTAGAGACGGCTAGTGCAGATAGCCCTCGTGTATCTTTGCGTGAGATTCAATTAAAGAACAAAATCAATTTGATGGAGTTCCTGCTTCCAACTCAGCTGATGTGAAGCCCATAGATTTTACGGTATGGAGAAAGAAAATAGATTGGATAAGTGAATGACATTTTACATTTATGTTTTTAAGAAATCGCGTATAATAATATATATATATAAGTCACAAAATAAAAAAAAATAACAAGAGCAATTCTGGAAGACGGACATTTTTTTCTAAAATGGCGAAGGAAGGTCTTTCTTTCCGAACATGCTCAGGTATAAAATTATTTAACATCTTACATTTATGTGTCATATTTAAAAACGTTTAAATAGTAGTATAAATAGCACATCGTTGGCAGGAGTAGTGTTGATTAGCTGCCTTCCCTCTAGTCTATCACTTTTAAATTAGGGACAGCTAACGCAGATAGCCTTCGTGTAACTTTTCGCAACTTTTAACAAAAACAAACCTATCAAATGAAAGAAAACGAAATAACTAAAGTGGCTTCAATACAACAGTGTAAAAGTGTCTTGAACTTTTGATAAGTTTATGCTAGTAAAGAACAAGATTTACGATTCTATTTACATGTTATAAAACAGACTTAAATATATAAAGACAAATACTTAATCACAATTTTCAATTATTTGAAGATTTCATTTCTTTTACTAAATGTTTTTGTTAAACGAAATATCCCATGTCTATTTGAGTAAAAGAGCAATGTGAGAAGCTTTTTCAACTTCTTTAAATTATGCAAAAATTAAATTTGGAGTATGGAATTACGAAAGACGTCACCATATGCTTAAGAGAGCAGTGGATGTAGATATCACTATACATTGCAAAGAGAAAGGTATTTGGAGAATGGATCCATCATTCCTCATCTCAGACAGCAGTGTTTTGTTTGAATTTCTTCATTTGTGTGTAAACACTTAGAATGTCGTCATCCTGTTGAATTTAATACTTACCCCGATACCCAGGATTTGAATGCGTTGCTGGATCTGGTATCTCTTGCTAGATAAGTCGAGCGGTTTGTCATTTTTTATCACACCATTCACCTGAGTGTATTTTGGATCAGAGGTGTTTGGTGAGTATCAGTATTGTGTAATAGGCTTAACCTCGCAGTCACTGAGACGCCCCACACGGCCATCAACTTCGTTCACAACTCTACGTGCCTAACCTCTTACGCGAGTAGCCTACGCAGGTCACTTAACTGTTTTAAATACACAACACTGTCTTTACATAAAGTTTTCTCTCTAGTATTTAATTATACTTGTCATAAGACATTAGTATCAAGTATATTAGATATTTAACATTATATTCTTTATTCAGTCCCTTAAGAAGAAGATTATATAATATTTCAACGTCAGCCATATCCATTGCCAATGATGCTTTTCCAGGTGGAATACAACAAACACAGTAACGGTCAAAACACTATTTATATAAGCCACATGTTACTATAATTGTTATGGTGTGAACGTTATTTTCTACATTGGTAAGGCATTATTTAATTACGGCTTAAACGTTGAAAACCAGCGAAATATTGGAATATCAATAGGCCTAAAAATTGTCAAAAAACAAGTTAACCGCAGTATCTTTCACATTCCCCTTAATCTGTTCATTGCAGCTCGAAATAAAAGGAATCTGAATGTTATGTAAATACCGATTTTGAGCTGCAATTTACAAATCAAGAGAAATGTTAAAAAACATCTGCAGTTAACTTGTTTTTATAACAACTATTATGATTAATTGTACTTTCCATAAAACACTAGTATTAGGCCTACTCTATGTTTTTTAGAGTTTATAATCGATATTTCAATTTTAAAAACAATAATAAGTCAATTTAACTATTAAAAATATGCAATAAAACAATTTTGCCACGAGGTGGCGCTACAAACATGAATTTCTTATAAATTATAAGTTCTGGTCATTTCGGCTTACAGGCAAAAAAATGGTTTACTTATACAGCATTAAAATTAAAAGGAACGATATTGGTTAAAAACCACAGAGAGAAAATACTTAAAAGATAATTTCTATAACTTAAATTCGACTTGTTTGCATTCATTGAAACGCTGACTGGTTCATGTCAGTTTTCTGGGATGATGTACAATAACTGACCTCGAGTAAATTTATTTTGTTCTTTCTCTTTATTTATTAAAGGTAGTATAGATTGTTTCAAATAGATACAAACTGATTAGAACACAGAGTGGCACAATTCAGAAAATAGATATCTCAATCAAGCTATCAGACTAGCACTCAATATTTCTTCACGAAGTAGTTTGGATTTACTAGTTAAACAGTTAAATATCTTTCAAACACTGATATAGGTGGGAGAAATTTTAAAAACGTATACAGCAATAGCAGTGTTAAAATGCAAATACCTTATTTCATTTTAAAGTTTGATTGATATACGAGGCAATTACATGTATAATACTTCACTCCTGGTTACATACAGTAAAACGCACTAAGTATATTTATGTATAAAGGGAGGAAAAATCCTAAAGGAATTGAAATACGTCATAGTATGTTTGCTTTCCCGCACAAAAATAAACTTGTATAACAATCTGATACACAAAATCCATTTCAACATTTGTAACCCACTCAAAAGACAGCAAACACAATAATTTTGAAGATTTTATTGACATGATTAGTTATGTAGGCAAAGCAGTAGTAAACCAAAGTTTTGATAGATCATATACATACAAATATATATATCTAATGTGGCCACGGTTCCAAGTTTCCTTTTCGGTTTAATATTAATGAGGTATGCACTAGACTATTAACTTGTAAGTTTGGAACTTCTCAATCATGTTCCAAAAGTTCATGCTACCTGTTTACCTGGACATGTCTACATGAAATTACGAGTCTGGGAAAAAAAATACATACTCAAAAGCTGGTGACGTTATAAGGAATAATGTCACTGGAGAAAGTTTTTTTTTTTGTAATTAATGTGTCTAGTATTTCCGGCCAGTAGTGATGGCTTACATTCGTGAATGTTTCAATAAGGGCACACCTTAATACTGTGTACCAAAACTAAGGCATATTTTTTCCTACACGTTATATGATTTAAAAGTATCCATGGAATAATATACGTTAGAAAAGTTGTACTTTGTTTAAAAGCACTGTAGTGATACATATTTTACCATAAAAGGTGGGAAAAATGGTTTTCTAATCTCAAAATTTACCAGCAGTGATAGACATACATACTTTTAATAGTGTTTTGTCTAATACACAATCAAGCCAACAGCATTTTATGATAACACATATCACAAACATGTAATTTTCAAGTCTTATGGTGATATTCACACACAAAAAAAATAATTATGATCTGAAATATTCAGATATAGTCAAATTGTTAAGTTCCAATTTTAAAGAGAACTCACATATTTCTGTTAGTTGCACAAAGGATACAACTACATCAACATGTTTCTGCTCTAGTTCTATTACACAATTGTTTGGCATATACAAAATTTTTACTTCTGAAGAATAATATACAACACATTTCAAACTTTCCAAATTAAATACTTACACTTTTTGAGCCCTAAGAGAGAGAAAAATCACAACAAGGAATACAAGTTAAAAATATTTAACAAACTGCAGAATACTATAGTTGTAAGGCTTTACATACATGATTTCTTACGTCATGCCCCAGACCATCAAGGATTTTTAATCTGTTTTTATTAATTATTATATTTCCAAGTTAATTTTCTGATTGCTGGGGATTTTCTTCTGGCAATTATTATTATTATCAGAGTGGAGGGTAAAAACTGAAATGCTTTGGGGGGTTCCATATAGGATTTTATGGGATATAACAGTGCCCTGGGGAATGGTGTAATGGGTCATATATATATAAACTCTGTACACGAGCATTACCTAGATCTTTTATTTCAAGAAAAATCAAATATGAGAAATCAGGATTCCCTCTGCAGTATAAAATTCATGTATAATAGACAGAAATGCAACATCTTCCAGAACATTTAATATTCTCTCCTTTATTTTTCCCCATACCTTTGGATGTACAGTGGCTTTTAGTGAAGGAAAGAAAATATTTAAATTTGACATTCTGAATGAACCAACTACAAAAATAATGTTAAGTACGTGCCTGATCTATTTTTGGGAAACTAGCACTACAACTATAATATATATTTATTGTAAAACAAAAATATTCAGAAGGTACAAATAAATTTGAAATAATAAAACGAAGGCACTAGTATTGATTTCATAAACTTTGTTAATTTAACATTTACCATCCTCATGTCTTCTGTTTTCATACAAGAGTTTGAAAATAATGTCCAAGTGAAAAAATAACAGAATAAGGAAATGAAATGCGTCTCATTTTTAACATTTCAAAAATAAGTACCACAACATACAACATGCTTATAACTGTAAAACATAAAACACAGCAAAATAAGAACAAAGCTTCATATTAATTAAACAGTTAGAAAGCATGAAAAATATGTTATCTTGAGCAAGACGTAATCTCAGTGAATGGAATGATTTTACCAATGTGTAGTCAAAAATGCCAAATTTTAACTCTTCAATCTATAAATGTTCTATTTAAAAATAAACTTAGTAGATAAAAGGGAAGATGGTAACACACGAAAACAAGAATTTCCATACAAATGTTGACTAGAAACAATCCAGTTTTATAGGACAACCAAAGTGACAGAAGGCTGAATACACCAAATAAAATATTAAACTCCTCAACTTACCAAACATAAACTACAAGATCCTACTAATTGCAATACTTTTTTTTATAAACCCTAAATTCCCTGCTGTTTAGCTATTTACTTCATTAAGTCAAGCACAATATTTTAAACAGGTTTCAATTTAACAAATTTGAAATTTTTTGATATATTTCGTGTAAAATACGGCAAATTATCAAATAAACAAAAAATCAACAAATGAAATAGTTTGATTTTTCTATCAAGAAAAAGCCACAAAAACTCAATGTTTTAATACCTTTGAAATGTAGGAATAAAATAATCTCAACATTAAGAAAGTTAAAGGGGTTCCAAAAAATCACCATACAATACAAATTTTCTAATTAAATAATCAGTTTGGTTCCTACCTATATTTTGATATCTTTGCAAACACTTACCTAAGAAAAAAGTAGATTTTTATTTTGTACACTTTCTATAAGCAGCAAGCACAGCATAAAATACTGTTTATAATGTACATGTATACAAAATGAAAACAACCTCTTGAAAAAAGTGAGTTGCCTGTCTGTCTGTAACTCGTGTGGATGTTCAATTTCATAACAAGCAAATCCTACTGTTAAAAAAGCTGCATATTGGATTTCATTGTTTTTTAACAGCGATTAACACACTTACGTACAAAAAAAGCAATTTAGAGTTTACTTATTTTACCATCATAAAATAGAGACCATTCACTCTGTTGACAAAACACACGAGTATTACTGGATTACTTTACATAAAATACAAACACGGGAATAAATAACTAGCCACATACCACCATTTTTGTTATAATGAACTGTGCCTTAAGTTTCAAGAACTAAATACCTTGGCTTTAGCCTTGTTTGTTGGCTACATGCTCAACACTCAAAACTGGAAGCCAACTTGAAAATTTAAGTTATATTAGTTCTTACTCTAAGAGCTTCAGAGAATAACAAAACCCCTCCTCTTAAGTGTTTGTAGTTATTTATACTTTTCGGCATCAGCTGTATGTTCTTAATCTAACCTTGAAAGAGTTTCATTTAAGTTTCATTGAACAGTTAAGTCTACATTATAGGTTAAAGTCAACATCTTATCACATAAATATATGTACAGTTTAATTTCACACCGCAGTAACAATACGACACTTGTCTCCCACTACTGGCTCTTTTTCAACATTCAAAACAGAGTTTTTCTGAGAAGTTACTTTCTTTGTTGTGTTTGAGTTTTGCTGTATTTTTTCAGGAACAGATCTTTGCTGAGCCACACGAGTAGGGGATGGAATATAATTGAAGGGAGGGACGACAGCTGAGGTTGGACCAGCTGTTGAGTCACTATGAGATGAAAACCCCTGATGTCGTTGGTCAATGTCGGATACTTTCCTCCCTACACGAGTGGGAAGAAGAGAAACTCCCAGACTGCGTGAGTGATGTGGAGAATTAGGTGGACTGTAAAATGGACTTTTCACTGACTTTTCTCCAACATTTCCAGTCTGTTCTTCTCCTCCTTTACAAATAGGTAAGTTAGTAGTCTGTTGTCTGCTAAGTCTACGTAAAAAAGAACCTCCGGAAGTACTCTTGACTTTAGTACCTTCAGTGACAATTTGTTGATGAGTAACTTCATCACTGGAATTCATACTTGAAGTTTGAAAACTTGTTTTCAACTTGGAAGGGGTCTTAATATTACCACTTAGGAATGCAGATTGCATATTTTGGTTTTTTCTAGAACCACCAGCTGCTGGCTCAGGACTGTATGAAACTGGCTTGTTTTCTGAAGAAAGCTTTTCATATGTTGAACTTTTGCTTAAAGCAGGAGTTGTGGGAATCATGGAACCAGATGACTGAGTCCTGAGAAAAACAAAAATGTTACAATACATATCAAAATCAAATGGTACAACATAATTATCATAGGTCTGTAAAACAAACAAAATAACATCAATGACAAAAACAAAATATACTTTCTGTTATTGAACAACAAACAGAAGTCAAAATAATCTCTCACAAGGTTGTTCTTTAGTAAATGCTAAGTTACATAATTTGAGTTTCTCATCATTTATTTATATCTATAGATTAGGGGTAAAATACTTGGTATTTCATTTTTAGATGAAAAAATATTATGCAAAAGTAATATCAAAACCAAAATCACCCACAAAACCATATGGCTCCTGTGGAAAACTTTACTTTCAATAAAGACTTAAATGTGATTAACTAATTAGTATAAGAAAAGCCTTTTTTAAATTATTTGGAACATAGAGTTTGTAATATTCTGAATAACCCATTACATTATCTATTCTAATGTATTTAGCATGATTATATGCCTGTGATGGTATTCTAATGTAGAATTACTTTCAATAACAGAATATTACGGTGTGGACAGTTTTCAAAAACAAGTGTAGAAAAAGTATTTTCTTAATTCTTGCAATTTTCTACTTTTAGACTTGGTACTATCTAATGGATTTTAAATATTTTTATAATAGCTTTATATGTAGAAGCAACACAATTCATACCTAAATGTTTGAAGTTTAAGTCAATCATAAGGATAAAAGTAAGCTATTTGTGTAAAACCTGCTTCCAATGTCTACTGAAAGTTTTACTGATAAACTTTTAATAACAATTTAATATTTCAATGAAGTATAGACTTAGAAGAATAGACTTTTAAGCAGTTTCTATTTTAGAAACTGTGTAAAGAAATGTTACAACATTATATGTTCAAAACTTCACAGAATGTTGATGAAAATGTCAAAAAGGCACAATTTCTTCAGATGTTATAAAGTATATTTGATCTACTCTGGATAAATGTGTAAAAATTATGTCATGACCTTCAAGAAATAAAGACAAATAAATTAATAAATAAACTAAGTATTCCAAGAATTGTTTAATGTTGAAGTCTAAGTTCAAGGGAGGTCCAGTTCAATCTACACTTTGATCAACGTGTGTTATTGGGTTGTACTAGTTGAGGAGAATTCCACTCCTCATCAGTAACTCTGAACACAAGTTAACCAAAGATCAATAAGCTAGACCTATATCATAATGAAAAGTAT